AAAGGCTGCGGAGGAAGGGGATGTTAGCAACTCTCCTGGCTTCCAGGCTCGGAAATGGCATTTATTGCCATTGTGCGCATTGTGGAACGAAGGATAACTGCTCGAGGTAAGAAAGAACTTCTTGGTCACAGTAACTGGTTATTGCTGTTTGGGGGTGGGAGGTACGAAATTTTATGTTTTTTTCTTCCATCTTTTGGTGCAGAGTGTGTGCGTGTTTAATGCTGCTCCTTAGGCGGGTGAGCCCGTGCAATTAGAGAGACATGTCCTTGCCCCATAGCGCTCCATCTGAGTATAACAGGGGATGACAGAAAGAGGTTAGAGGGAGAGGGGATGATGACAGAAGCAAAGGGTTTTGAAATGCCTTTTTGTTAAATGGACATTTTGGTGCAAGTCTGAGGGGTGGCTTTTGAAAGATGTCATTTGGGCTGAAGAAAGCATATGCATTAAGGGAAAAAAAGGGAAACCCAATTTGTAATCCACTGAATGATTTAAAAGTCGTAAGGAAAACAACATTTAAAGGCTTCTTGGAATCTTTTTGTCATTAAACTGTTAGAACATGCAGGAGCCTAGTGTGATTTTTATTTTAGGGCCCCAGTGCTTCCCAATAGCAATTTATTGCATGTTTCTAGGAAAAAAAATCCCCACTTCCTTCAAGCATCAACCTCTGACATGTCAATTGCAATCTTTGTGAACATAAAACCCCCTTGGTTTTATTTTTTGTGACAAGCACGCTGCCCTATTTACATTCTAGAATGAACGACCAAGGAACCGTTCCTTGAAACAGGGGTACTTGGAAGGGATCTTTCCCCTCGTTTGCGCAGGAGGGAACTTGACGAGACATCCCCTCGGGGTCTGCGGTGACAGCCAAGGAGCTCATTTCAGCTTGCGTATAGCGCCGTGTGGTACAGAAGCACAAACCGAAGGGGACAAGGCTGCAGGCACCAGAAGGTGAAAACTTAGGGACAAACCCTTGTCATGGTCCTGTCCCCAAAAGGCAACTCTTTCAGGTCCGTTGTTCAGTGTTCACCCCTTTCCAATCCAAAACGCAGCCCGTTTCCTTCAGGTCTGCACGTTCCGAGCTGCAGGAAGCTCAGTTTGCTGTAAGCTCTAGGCTTATTTAAATTAGCCGCTCAGTCAACCTCCAGAGCAGTTACAGTGGTATTGCTGTGCTGCACACAAAGCAAGGGCTTGGCATTCCGGAATCACAGAATCACAGAATCTTCGGGGTTGGAAGGGACATCTAGTCCAACCCCCCTGCCAAAGCAGGGTCACCTAGGATTCCTCGTATCTACCTTCTCTAGCCGTCTACGTTCAGTCACAAGCCTATTTTCCATGCAGGAGAAAATACTGTGGAAATACTGAACGGGACAGCTAACTGGATAGGCAATCACTTTCCACAGCTGCAGGTGGAAAAAAGATGAACAGCTACCCATAACACGATCAGGCTCTGATGAGATCACTTGCGCTTATGTATCTTCCAAATAGCACACGCTTCGGCAACTAAAAGTTGGGTCTTGCAGCAGAAAATAAGAAACGCAGAAGGAACAGGGTGCCAACAATGGCTGGTCAGCTTTGGAGCAAATGTCCTCAAATCTTTCTAGCTGGAATGACGTTATCCATACTGCAGGCATTTAGGGGTAAACACTCAGCAACAAACAGGTTTCGATGGCTCTACGCCATGGAAGAGTCACATCCAAAGCTGACGGTCTCTGCTACGTTGTTGGAAGTGTGACCTGATAAGGCATCGTGAAGGTTTCTGATGAAGTAATCTCTGTAGTCTTCAGGCAGGGCCATGAATGTTGCACCCATCACAATAAACTCTACTTTATACGAACTGTGGCCCAATTGCTTCAGCGGTTCCACTCTGTGTCTTGTCTGGAGATAGGGGTCGTATCTAGCCTGAATGGCCCCCATGGACGTTGGCTCATATCCAATGTAAGACTGCGATGAATATTCAAAATCAGAATCAGTTCCACCTGGGCAGTATACACATACATTGCCTGTAAAGTTAATGTGCAGACACCTGTGTGGTTTACACATCACAGCCAGGACAGCAATCCTGCTAGCAGTTCTTATAGGCTTGGCCTTCAGCTGCCTCGCTGGATCTTGAGGGTGAGGTGCGTGTAGATGTGGCAGCCGGTATCCTACAAGGCATAAAACACACCGGAGACCCTTACAACTAGAGGCTGAACTTGGCGTACTGAAGCAGAATGATTTCTTGGGAGAGAACTACAGCAGGGATGGCGGCCTTTTCGTCCAAGCACCAGGACGCAATCCTGGGAAAACCGAGCGCTTCGCACCCGCAGCACGGTTGGAGGCTGGCGACGAGGTGGTGGGAGCGGTGGCTTCACAGCCTCTGTTTGAGGCAGAGCAGAGGGCTGCTGACGGCAGGATTCCCGCTACGTTACCTATTTGATGGTTGTCTGAAACATTGAACTCCAGGAAAAGAGCCACTAGCAAAGAGGCAGCCTTATCTATTTAAGATTTTTAATAATTCAATAATAATGTAGTATTTTTAATAATTTCAGTGTTCCTTATTGAGGACTAAGGAGGACTTCAGGACTTGAACTGTCTGTAAAGATAATTAACTAACTCATGGCTTTTTGTTATTCTCATTTACATGAGATTTTTCCACAAGCTGGGGGAAGAAGCTTCGTTACACCTAGAGGTGCACTCACACCTTAAAAGAGCAAACTTCCCAGAGACTTTTTTTTCTGAATGGAAGGGGTACGTCCTGGAGCCTTCTAAAACTCTGCTGAGGCAGGAGGAGGGAGAGGTCCTGTCTCGGTGGCTGCTGGTGCAAGCTGGACGGGCTGTCTCAGCACCAGCCAGGGACGCGGGTTCACGTGAATAACCCCCCACAGCTCTGTCAGAGGCCACCAGATTTGTAACGCATCAGTATTTCAAACTCAGGTCTGAATATGATTATGAAAAAATGTCTTTTACTGTCAACACAGTTGACTGACTTAAACCACATAAAAGTGGTTTTCTTTTTTCCTTTTAACAAGAAGTGGCAGAGAAGGAAGTCGCAACACAGCAACTCCACTTCTATAGAAATACGAATTTATGATCTGGAACGGGGGAAGGCAGTGTGTCGACTCATTAGCACAACAGTCTGGAGCAGACGGAGAAGTTGTGGCCTGAACTGTGATTTATTATAAACTGACCTGGCATTGCAGCACAGCCGATTCTCTGCAGCTGCTGAGTCAGGCACTGAAAGTCTTTGAAAAGCTGACTGACAAAACCAAGTGTATAAAGGGAAAATATGCTGCCACCTGTAAGAAGTAAGCATACCATCAGAAGACCCAGAACAGTTAATGTCTTTAATATAAAATCATTTTTCTCCCCAAAGCAGCAGCACTGTATTACAAGTGTGTTACAGTTAAATTAAAGGAACACCATTGTGACTGAAGACATCTTCATGTACGAAGTAAAGATCTCCCAAATAATTCATAGTCCATTTTCTGCACATTTCAGCTGATCAAAATACGCTGGAAACAAACAAAAAAATCAGCAGGTGTCACTACCACCACTTCTCGAAGAAAACAGAGTCTCTAGGAACACCAATGTTGGACAGTAGTTTGGATATAGATTCTATCATTGGGGGTGGACCGCAGATGTACCACAAAGTATCCTTGGATACATGTTTCTCTAGATCCTTTTCAGATATTCTTCCCTCTGACAAAGAAAAAAAAAGTAGGAAATGAGAACAGAAATACTAATTATGAAGTAGTTTTACAAAGAAGGACTGGTTACAGGTGTTTCAAGCCTTCCTTTCTTAAAAATGCCAGGCCTGCTTAAGGATACGCGTATCCAGATCTGAGGCTTCCAGAACCCCGTGTTCTTCTGGGCATCTGGATCAGTACATCCCATTGGAATGTGTGGGATATTATTCATTGAAGAGGACCATGGCTCACATACAAACTACTAATACCACGTTCACATCAGAAAAATAGGTATCTCCAACACTAGTACAACAGAAACATGATGAAGTATCTCTTACAAGCAGTTAGCTTATCCTGCTTTAAGCAAAGTAAATACTTTGCTTCGTAGTTTCTGGAACAAAGTTTGCAGTGGGAAATATCAGGATGAAGTTTAGAATTAACACAGGAGGTTTACTAGAAATGATGAAAACACAAACTGCAAACGAAAAAATTTTCTCCAAAGCCTAATATGTGCAGTGAAATTATTTAGGTTTAACTTGCATCTCATTTTGAATCTTTAAATATAAATAGTAAATTATGTATATAACTTCACCCTCTCGGAGGTAATAAAACTTAAGACTTTTGAAGTCCTCTCTCTGCACTAGCATTATATTTACCTGTAACATGTGGCTGAAGTTCCTCACAGATCTGTGAACTCTGTCGGGTTACGTGGAAACGACATGTGATCTTTCCAGGAAATGCATTCATCAAACCAAGAATATTTTTCTGTAACGTTAAACACACTGGCTTATACCACAGACCCTTAAACCGAAGCAGATGTATGGATACAGTCCCAGAACACCCGGGGTTACTGCCGCGTACCAAGACTCTCGCGTTTCAGCGCTGAGAACGTGATGGGCTTGAGCTCACAGGGCTGGCCTGCACGAGAACGCAGAACGGCCGAGCCTGGAATGCGAGTGCACTACCTGCTACGTTGTTAGCGCTCTCCTCCTGTTTTACGACAGGTTCCAATTTGTAAGATTTGGGCCTAAGAACCAGTTACACCCTCTTCTGGTTTGTTCCCCATATAAATTCTCCGTATTTCCTCCTTCCACTTCCATGTGAGCTTTCCATTTTAAAAAACCCTGCAGTTTGTATTTGCCATTTATGAGGAACTTTTTGAGTCTTGTCTGTTTTATCTGGTGACATTACTACACCCTTTACTCTCTCGTGTTCTCCAAGTAAAGCCAACTACCGTGTAATACTAATGCTATTTTTACTGGAGTAGAAACTCTGTAATTTTCAGTTCCCTAAGTCACAACTGTGAGTTACCACCAAAAACCCAACGGCTTCAGTTCAAATCATAGTAAAAAAATCTGTCAGTCAGGTGCTGTAGTTAGTTCTGAAACTAAGGTTTATGTACTGTCTAGATTCTGCGCTGCTTGGGATTTTCCCTGCTGGAACAGACACTGGAAGTTCTTTCTTACAATATTCTGAAATAAAAATAATTTCTACTCTGTGAATAGGTAAATTAGCTCATTTTGTCATGTGTTTGCTTACTATCTTGTTACTACACTAACAGTCTGCCATGGGCGGCTTAACCAAAAAAGACCCAGATGGATTCTACTTCATAGACAAATCTGTCCCCGATTCCCTGCAGAGACACGGAACGACGAGCAGCACAGCCAGCCGCTGCTGGCCACTGTCCCACCAGTACCTCCAGTGCTCCCTGCCTGCACTGTTCCCCATGCGACTCTCAACTTCTGCGCCCTCCGTACAGAACCACGTGCAATTTGATAGCGCTTTGGAAGCTGAGCACGTCCCGCTGCGCTGAAGTCCTAGCACCAAGCCAGAAGGCATGCCTAAGGTAGGGCCTAACCTGCTTAAATAATCCTGCGGTCGCTCACGGCACCTGCTTGTGACCCATCCCGCTGCCATTCAGCGGCACGGACAGAAAGGGGCGAGCGTCACACATGTGACAAACCACCCCAGTAGTATTTTCCAGTATCCCGGGCCAAGAGACAGGCTCTCCTTCAACCGACTGAAGGAGAATTCCAGCAGCTCAGCCGGCTCTCTGCAGCCTAGCCAGTCAGGGCACCAAAATGAAGCAGACAGCTGAGCAACCCAGACCTGCGGGAGAAGGCCCGTCCCCCGTGTCTCGGCCACGGATAAGGAAACAAGGGTCACGGTCCGTCCTCATGAAATCAGCTCACTGGCATCTTGAAGTAGCAAAGTCAGCGTGCTGTCCTCTGTAATTCTATTCTAATGCAGCATGTGGGTGACATCATACATAGCTGCTCCTCCGAACCATCCATGACAACCTAGCAGCTCCCCACAGAGATTTGTGTAGGTGTGTCTCACAACAACATAAAGACGCCAGTGATCCTATTTCCTCAGTGCTCTGCACAGAAGTAAGGAATTTTCATACACGTTCTGGGTTTGTGGGACACGTGAAGAATGAAAGGAAGGATGTGTTTTGAGCACTGCGACTTATCGCTGTGTGTGTTCCTGTCCCAGCAGCTCTAACGCAAAAGCTCTGCTGCCACAACACTGCTGAAGTGAAACTCGGGAAATGTCAGCTCCTGCACTGAAAAAAATTGTGTGTGCTTAGAACGGACTGGGAGAGTAGCAGTTGGCCAAAGGGAAGAGTAGACAGGTTCCAGTTTACTATTCTGTTTCTAGCAACAAACAAATGACTTTTCAAAGAAAGCAAACATCTTCCTATCTAGAAATAGGGTAGAAGTACAGAAGAAAAACTAGTGATGGATCCTCTACACAGTTCCTGGAATCATGATAGATTTTCACCTTTGTCTTACAACCAAAAGCTTTCAATACCTCAAAGAAACCTAAATCATTGGGGACGCTTCTTCACAGAAGCTGTGTTAATTTGACCCTAAAATGTTATCGGTGGCCCTTAATGGCTGAGTGACAACTGATCTTTAACTGCTAAGTAAATGTTGAGGAAGTACTGTTACAAGCATTTGCACAAGACATGCTTGCAAATCCTTCATTCATAGACTAGTACCCAGTAATAATGAATGCGTTATCAATAAGCTCCCCTATTATTTTAGAAAGTATTTCCTTTGGATGTAATTTGTCTTGCTAGCCTTTAAATTCAATACAGTCTGTATTGAGACAATGTGGTTACAGTATTACAGCATATAGCATTATGCATGCTGTTAGTGTGTATATACATATTATAGTACATACAATTTTTAGTATACTATGATGCTCTTACGAGATTATAGTAAAATATAGGCATTTAGGGTTAATTGACTTACCAGTGAAGTCAAAGAGACCAGGTATGCCCAGTAACATCCTTAATTTGTACACTGGGTTAATTAACACAGCACTCAGGGGATTTGAGGCAGGAAGTGACTTTTGTCTCTGTACGGTGTCTTACACAGAGGGGCTCTCTATTTCGATAACAGAACGATACACACACTAACAGCTGAATATCTGCAACCTATTTTTTTCTACTTTTATTTACCTTAAATAAGAGTTCGCTTGTATTTTTTGCACTGTAGTACAGCTTCACTGTTCCCATTTTGTACGCATTTCCTTTACCCTCTCGGTATCCATGAAGATCTGCTATATGCAGCAGTATAGAAAACAACGGGTTAATTCCAACACCCCCGGCTATCAGCACCAGTTTTGCAGGGGAGTCACCAGGCTGAGGATCAAAGAAGAAATCACCTCCCACTCGCAGAGCCACTTCTGAGTCAAGAGTACACTAGGATGGAAAAGAAGATATTTCATTTCAAAACGAAAAGCAAAAGTTGAAATATTATTCCTGCACCACAGTCACAAGACTTGCTGAGCTGTGATCTTTTTATTTTTATTGACCAGTGAGGGAAAGCTGAAGCACTTTAAAATAAATAACCGCACCGTTTCCAGCTATCTGAAGCAATCTGTTTCAGTGTCTCTAGGGATCAAGTTCTGCTTTCAGAAGTCTCAGTCTTCTGATAAGGCAGGATGGTGCCACCCCTTCCACCCCCGTAAGAGCTGAAAGGGGAATGATTCACGCAAGAGGTTTCCAACAGCAGCATGTCGTTGTGAAAACCCGAGGTTTAACATGTGAGGTCACACTTTTACCCAAACCCAGTCTCATGTCAAAAAGGCCTTGCTACGAGGACACAAAGGAAGTCAGAATGAGTTGCATAGACGCAGAAGGTTTTTCCATCTCTATTCCTAAAAAATAAAAAACCACCCAGAAGTGAAGCAAGTATCCACAAGAATATTTCTTGCAGAACTACTTCCCCATTTGCAACTTCAGAGTTACAGAAGAAGAAAAGTCAGGGGAAAACCTTTTCTCTCTTCCTTTCCGCTTGTATATAAGAAATTATTTTTTTGAGAAATTTACCAAAGTGTGAGTTTTTTAACACATGACAAACTAAAGCTACAACAAAAAAACCCATTTGGGTCAGTGTCTTCTTGGTAAACCGGCACTGCATCCCGGTATGAAGGGTGGAACTGCAGTACAGAGAAGTCAGGCGAGTTCTCCCACACCACTGCAAGGTAACAGAACAAACAGGAGCAGAAAACAGAACTCATTTCACACCATATGTAGGATGTAAAAAATCAAATAAAAAGGATAGGGAAACCAAGGAAGGCGGGAAAGGAGTACAGAAAAAAATGTAAAGCTACAAGAACTGCTGAAAAATTAGCAGTTAATCACTTACAGAATATAAATGCTTCCTCAAAAAAATCCGTTTGATATTGGGAACCAGTAATTGAAACAAAAGGATTTCCATTAATGACAACTGTGTAGTAAGCAAAGGTCTAAACAAGTACCAGTTCCACCAGGAGGAGGAAGGCGGCCCTTTGACACTGGTACTGCACAGCACACAGAGCTTCCCACAGGAGTGAGCATGGCCAGTTAAAACAAAAAAAGTTTTTTGCCTCTCTTAATTATTGCATAAAGTATTATCTGTCAATTATAGTGTAAGACAATCAGCATTTATTATCTGAAACTAATTTCCCTCTCCCTTTCCAATGTACACTGTCAGGCTTTCCCACCATGTTTTACTTTGGTTTAGAGATGCATGAATCCAGTCCAGATTCATGTGGCAGATGTGGAAATAAGCATTTTTAGGGAGAAACAATCTCATTCTTGTCTAATCTGCCTCCTTAACCAGCTATAGCTCATCAAGACGGGACGTAGGATCCAGCAAGGATCTCTCTTAACCAGCAGCCTCCCACGTATTTCAGTGCATTAGCCATGGTTGTGATAACAGTAAGCCAGTTTAAAAAAAAAAAATCAAAACAATAAATTCTGGAGTAATATGGTGAGAAAGTGTTGTCCTTTGGCCTAGTTTGTAAATACAGCATTGAAACGGCTCAGAGAAGCCAAGCAGTCAGTACATTACACATACATTTTTCTAAATAAAAAAGGCTATATTTTCCTAAGCTATAAAGTACACTGTGCTGAACTCTATGACTTTACATACAGTAATATTAAAGAACAAATACCTCTGAAAAAAACAGAGTAAATGAGTACTAACTATTCCCACAACATCCTTCACCTTGAGATATCACCTTCCTTTATAAATAACTTTTAAATAATTCAGTACCAGAGTTTTTTCACCACATATATAACCCTTTCAAATTCCAGGTTACTGTTTTTTCCTCCTTCATTCCTAAGGAAAAGCATGCACTTTTGTTTAGCTAGAAGAGTCCACACATACCCTGGAGGTTTCTCCACAGCATCAGGTTTGACCTACCTGACCTGCTAACTAAAGGTTTTCCTATAAATTCAACCAGAAAACTCCGCAACAGCAAACTGATATACGACATCAAAAATCCTAAAAGAGCCTCCAGAGACTGGGAATTACGAAGTTAGGCCTTCATATTCTCTGGAGAGCAATACCAAGAACCAGACCATCCTCTTAGGCATTATGGGGTCTGCTGGCACGTGCACTACAAGTTCTGCACAGCATCTCACAAAGGTTATTTTGTTTATGTTGCAGTGGAGACAACTTGCTATAACACCAATTAAAATGCTGTAGATGGTCACATGCTAACTACTGGACTAGCATCACTTCGGATATTCTCAATTCTAGTAAATTTGCATCGATCTGCACTGTAACTCTGCTGGCCACTGAACAAAACTGCAGTATTTATAAACCTGGAAGAATCTGTCAATTTAAACCCTGCAGCCACACTTAAGAAATAAAAATGCCAGGCAGAGAACAGGAAACAGGACAGACAGAAGTTGATAGGACAGGTCATCTATGAAATACGATCAGCAGCAGAAATAGGACTCTTCCGACTATAACTAAATGGAGTAAACGGACGAACAACGCTGCCAAGAGGCCAAAGTGTCAGACCCTACTTCTAATATAGCAAAAATAAAGCCTTGGGTTATGCTAATATTACAAAAATATTGCATAGTTTGAAGATTACAATAGAAATTCTAAGTAGTCTGTTGTTCTATCATTTCAGAAAAATTGACCTGAATATCTCCCTTTGCTCCTCCTTAATAATCTATATTCATTTGACAACGATTTCCAGTTTATATTTGTAGAAAGGGCCAGGAATGATGGCAAGTTATCAGACGTAACTTTGTAACGTGTAACACAGCCTGTTCTCAGGGTCACAAGTTAGAACAGAGGTTTTTCAACATTTTTCTGTTCATGAATTCCAAAGGAGTCAGAACCCTTACATGCACTAACTACAATATCACTGGAAGTCCACCAAGCACAAGTAGAATCAAAAGATCACAATAACCATATTGCCACATAAACATCCAATTTAAGTCCCCTACTGAACAAAAGGTTTTAAGATTTATGCTGTATTACAAATAGCTGAACAAGTCAACAGAAGTTTTGCAGTCAACAGCAAAAAGTGGTCTGAAATCACACACACCACCCACTCCACCACCCACATCTCCCACCAAAAAAAAAAAAAAAAAGAAAAAAGAAGAAGGAAAAAAAGCCAAATCTCACAATCAACAGTCAATCTCACCTCAGTGTGAATCCAGCGAGCAGGAGGATGCGCAGTGTGCTTTACTGCCAGCTCTAATATTCCTTCTCGTTCCAACAGGCCAGGGCTTGAACATATTGAGAATCCCCCAACTACAGATACTCCAGGAATAAAGAAATCAACCCTAAAAACAGACCACAAACAAGAGTTTTAAAAAAGCCAACAATCCCAAACATGGAAAACAATAACCAAAACAACATGGCTGCCTTCGTTTCAATTACCCTTCCTTTACAAAGACATCTTCGTTTCCATAACACAACTTTTCCCAAGAAGGACTTCATCGTCAGTAACGCCATTTCCTTAGAATTATTTTCATCTAGAAATATGTCATCACCTTTGTTAAACTAGCAGGTTTTTAAACGCTTCTGCTTTTAGCATTAGATGCCATATCTTACAATAGACTAGAATTCTAAGTGTTTAAATAAATTATTTGCATATTAAACCAAAACACAATATGGTCTGATAGAGTGGCTTAAATCTCACACTTTTCGGTCCCTTTGATGGGCTCTTCAATTTTCAAACATAAGAAGATTGGGAAACTAATTTTAGGGAAATGACTTTTGATTAAACACTTTCTTTTCTTGAGAAGATGAAATATCTGAAGTAAAGCCACAGTCTGTAACGAATTTCTTATGTGAAAAAGCAGTTACTAGCAGCAGAATTGCTTTACCTACTGAGCTGCAGTGCCCTCCGGTGGCAGATTTCTTTTTCGAGTTGATAGAAAATTGGACTGGAATAAAGTACTATTTTTTTTTTTTAAAGTAAACTGTGCATGAGTTTCTACAGATTAGAAGGTAACACATGGCTAAGCTTCTGCAACACCAGAAATTAGAGGCTATGGAAGGCAAGCCATCACTACACAAGCTATAATTCATTTTCATAAAAGTAAGGCTTTGATATTCCAAATAGTATCAGAAAAAGTTCAAAGCTGGTTTATGATCTAACATTTAAATTCCTCTGTGTAGTCTAAATCTTTTAATACTTGTATTTTCTACAGCACATAACAAAATCCCTGTATTTCAAAAGAAAACTAATGTTTAAAACTAACTGTGCTGCTCCACATAGGAAGCCACCACGCTGGTAAGCAACGCCAAGTACCATTACTCAATTCAAGCCTGAGTTAGACTGGCTTAGTATTGGTTAAATGAGAATGCAACAAGAAATACAGACTGGCTGCCAATGCTCAGATATTTTCTTTAAACAGCAAGGCTGTATTCTTCACGGAGATCTCAAATTCTTGAGGGAGAAGCACTTTGAATAGTTTGCTACTTTTTAAAGAAAAAATTCTGCCTGCTTACTCCCCACAAAGTTTCATCCTTTGAAGAAAAATATCCTCTCTTTCTCTTGAAGACTGCACGAAGTGTGATATATACAATACTACAGTGATACAACTTTTAACTTTATGCTAATAAACTTGATGGTGTATAAAGGTATCTGGCTGCGAATGAAAGGTCAACAACTAAAAAAAGTTGAGAAGGCTTATTTCGCTGTCCTCAGCTTCTGAGGCCACACTGACCATGGGGCTGGGCCTTCCTGGCAGCAAGGATCTAAGAGATTAGAAAGGACAACTCTTGCATTGCAGCATTTGTTGTACCAAAGAACACCTCAAGATGCTACTAAAGCTCTTTACCACCCTCTGGTGGAAAATCATCTCACTACTTACATTAGAAAAAAAAAAAAAAGAAAAGTACGTTTCCGCTGTAAAGTAACAATTTACATTCAAGTCAAAATGTTCTGCTTGACCTTTAAGGGAAACGTAGTTTTTACCCTTCTAAAGTACTAATGTAGGCATATGTTTCTTTCTGTATTAGTACCTCTTTCCCAGGTACATAATTATGAAAGATTTCAGTGTGTAGTATACTACATTATAGTGGACTAGCTTGTATTTCTGACGGCCTGTCTGATCTTAGCTGTGTGTAGGAAGGATAAGAGGACTCCTGAAGAAATGCTACCTGCGACAGCCTCAGCAAAGAGAGTAGTTGTAGAGGAAAAAAAAAACAAACCAACAACTACATACAAACCCAGAAGGAGAGGCACAAAAAGATGTAAAACAGTGGTTTTTCACTTCCCTCCTTTTAAAGGCTACGTAAGCCAAATCTTCAAGGAAAGAACAAGCATTAGCAACTGCTGGATGAAGAGATCAGAAGCACTAAAACCATGAGGGCTACTTCGTCAAAGTATTTATAACATGCATAAGCCTCAATGCATGATTTAGTAAGTCAAAACGGGTCACAGCAACAAGTCTTTTCATTATTACTTCGAGTCAGACAAAGACCAGTATCTGCCAGCACGCTTGCAAAACCAATTCACTTTTGCTTCTGAAAAACTTGATAATTAGAACACTTTCAAAAATACATATATTTTAGTGACAATCTTTGGCTGCAAGATCCTCCTATAGCAAACTCTAACAAGTTCGCCTTTTCTGCTCAGGAAATTGTGGCCCGGTGTTCTGTACTGCTCATCAAAAAATGCAACTGCAGTTTATAACTACAAGTACAGAAAAGTTGCTGTATCCCTTACAATAGCATTAGAATACTTTCAAGGAAGAAGAAAATGAAAAAGAGTAATTATAATTGAAGCTTTCAGTTTTCAGCATGATCATTTCTAAAACATTTTTGGAGGGTAAATGCACTTTCCAAGTACTGGCAAGCAAGAATTTAATATGAGTCACTGTACATGTGCAGAAACTGCACCAAATTACTCCACAAACAAATTACTGCAATCAACATCTTGTGTTCTGGTTCTAAATTTAAAAGCCAGCATATTAACACTACATGAGTAACATATGCTCTTAATACCCTAGCAGCTATACTTTGATTCCAGCAAAACCACTTTCAGATGGCCTAAGCCAGTAAAAAGTTTAAGAACGTTTAAATGACCAACGCCAAAAGCAACTACTCAGAGTTTTGATGTGATTGAGTGAGATTATTTATAAGAAGGAAGACAAACATCAAAATCCACTGTTCCCCTGGAAAAAAAAAGCTGTAAGATTGCTTAAACAAACAGCTAATTATTTCAAAGGTTTAATAATTCAAGTTTTTTTTATTTTCAAGTTTGCCTATCTATATTTATATATTAATCTGACCTAACAGTCTTCATTTTCGGAGTGGAAACTTCTAGGGGAAGAAATAAAAGTTAACAGGCAATTTTGATTTAATTATAAACCAAAACTTTGTAATTTGCAAATCAGCAGCTGTCTTGGCTTCACTGTAAAAATAACTAGTCAATAAGGACAGTAAAGGACACCTTGCAGAATAAAGTGCAGTGTACTTCAAAGTACTCTTGAAGAAACAATGTGATATACGTAAACCAGAAGAAAACACCAAATCAAACTGAACATTTAAAGAACATCCATTTTTGCCGTTTTAAAATTAGTATTAGGATATTTAATAATGGCTATTTTAAAATTATGCCAAATAGCAGCTATTTCACAGAGCAATCAATAACAAAACATCATATTACATAAATTAACATTTTTTCCAAGGCTCAAGTATCAGACGCCTTTTAACACTTTGTTATAGTGGACTCCCGCTCTTAATTTTCCCCTCAAATACCAGAAGATCTTACCACTGTCCTGCTTTGAAAGTAAAATCCTTATTGGTGACAGCCAGACGAAGTCTTTTGACTGTCTCTGATTCATTGCTGATTCCACACACTTTTGCTTGTGAAATTACCTAACAAAAGGAAAATATTGTGTTATGTAGATAACATTTGCAGCAAAAGTACTCAAGAATCTGTGTATGAGATACCTATCACTTTGCACACTATATCGGCAGCATTTCACTCCCTAAAACACCAATATTCTTTCACTAGGGTAGAGAAACAAAAATGGATTCACTTACATAGCCACTGAATGGAAAAATGGTTTTCTACTTATGGCCCACCGTGCCTGTCACTTTTGTCAGGTTTATTCTAAGATTATATACAAACTTCTTTTATATCAACTGAAGAGAATGTAACAATAAACAGAAGCGATTTCTGGTCACCACTTCTCACGTTCTTTTGACATCTGCACAAGGCAAATGCTCCTGTACCCTTCCAGCAACAACATAAAAAGATCTCTGATATACAGACTGACAAAGGCAACTTGTAAAAGATTAGCTGCTACTGAAGTCCCAGGGAGAATTCTGGATCTGTATCTAGTTTTATTTAAGTAATTAAATGAATTACTGAAAGATTATGCATTAATGCATAACGCCTTAATGAAAGAAAACCAACAAGCCTCGTGTTACTGCGTTGAGACACGTACCCATTTGACCACGTGTGATCTATGAACATGGAGAAACTGCGACACAAGCATTCATTGCTAGTTAACAGAAGAGTTTTTGTTTGGCCGCCAGATGGGAGGGGATGCAAGAGCCATAGCTGATACCACTTTTAAAGAGTTTAAAAAAAATAAATATGAAAAATAATGCTTTTCGAAATGAAAAAGGAGGAGCTTCCCACTTAAACTCTTTGATGACCACCAGTACAACATGATCATCCCGTCCCTGCCCTTCCTTTTCAGGTATTTTTGAGTTAATAATTATTACCTTTTTTCCTCTCCAAAGAAAGTAATGCCCTAAGTATTTTCTACACAGGCCAATATAGAGATTTTACTCTGTTAAAAAATGCTGATGTCATTTACCACACTAGGAAATACTAATAATATCACCAGAACTCTACCATTTCTCATTTGTATAACATCAAAGAGATCCAAAAAAATTAAACTTTAAGCAACTGTGCTCTAATTTAAAACACATGGCAGGAAATTAATTTATTCATAAAGCAACATCTGAACACGTCCACTGTCCCATTAAACAGCAGGACACTTGCCAATTTAAAATAAAGTAGCATACATTTCTTTTCCTCTTTAGCAGACAGTATTAAATGGCGAATGCAATCACTCTAAGTTAACAGGCGAAATGTCAGATACATGACTTAAATGATGGCTCTGATGGAGAAACCTTAAGTGCAAGAAATGGACATCACGTTTGGATTTTCTTCATCCCCTTCTTTACTCTACAGTACACTCCCTAATTTGTTCTTTGGCTGATACATCTGACAGAGCACTAGAAATTTAATTCTTAACCAGTATCAAGTTATTACAAAAACTGAATTTGAGTCAGGGTGATCAAAGACTTTGAACCAGTATTTTGGACCATCACAAGAGTACCCGACTGGCCCAGAGCAAGGCTGCAGTGAGAGGGAGGACGACGCGGACTCCAGACTTTGCCGCTGTATTTCAAGAAAGTAACAGGCACTTTTTTCTTACCCTGGTCCTTCCCATTACCACTCTTCAACAGGCAACGCTGTGTAGTATGCATACTAATGCAACACAGGGCTGTGATTCTTTCATCTTTCTACAGGGCTCACATGGCCAAATAAGGCAATAGAGACTGAGGAAAGCCAACTGCTGATTATATGGAATTTAAAACCAAGCAGAAGATTTAAAATAAACTGATTTTAAAGGTGGTCAGAAACAAAGTAACAAAGAATAAATCAAGCATTAAAAAAATAAACAGCATAATCCTCTGATATGCAGAGAATTTGTGGTAGCAAGAACTGAGCCCTGCTCTTTCACCTATCCCATCCAGCTTCCTTCTCTTCCTCAAGCATTACACAGTTCCCTGTACCACCTCAGAGCTTCCAACATCTCATGAAAATCCATTTTCCACATATTTTCCAGCTACCCAGCGTTTATGTTGAGCAGAATAAGTAAGCAAAACATGAAATCAAATATCCAAGATAAAAAACCCCCACATGGTTGCAAAACTCAAAAGTGCAATTATTTTTTCCTTGTCAGAAGCAAACAAGAACGTGCATCTGTCTGTACCTGTCTCTACACCCATTTGGACCGCGCACTGAGTTAATTCGGCACGAAGCAGATCCGCCTGAGCAGCTGCATGTCCACAAGCAATGCTAATCCGTACTGAAGTAAGGACTGACATTTGGCGTGAGCAGCTGAGGCACAGCTCTGAGACACGCGGTTCCCGAAGCCGGCTCACACCCCGACACTCTGGGAACCGGCAGGAGGAGGCTGCATCCACCTCATCCATCTACAGCCCCTGTCCCAAGCGCTGCATCTTCAGTTTTGGGGTTACCTGTATTTCCCCTCCACCCACCTTCCTTTCAAGGAGCGTCCACTTGCCCTGCGACTGATTCTCACCCACAGTTATGGAAAAAACTAGCAGAGAAGGATTTAATTACGTACGTACATGCACATTAACATCTGTGTAGTGTGCTTGAGAACGCAGTCTGTCCTGCTGTGTGACACACACAGGACCGGCCTGTCATGTACGGCTCCTCAAGACTGGGGGAAGCTAACTAAACAACAGAGAAAAATTGTCTGTTTCCCAACTCCTGGGAACTAAAGATGGGATTTCTCAAATAAAGAGAGCCCTATGTGTCCTGAAAAGTCTAAGGAAAATGCAGAACTGTTTCACTAGTGAAATGTTCCAAGAACTGAAGTAATATTCTCCCAATACTTAAAAATTTCAAAATATCTGCTTTAGCTAATCACAGAAAGGAAATACCTGTATGAAGTACAAGAGTATATCCACCTCTCAACATTATGAAAAAGAGTGCTCGCTGCACAAAACTGAGATCCAGAATAAGCATTTCTGGATTTTTATGAAGAACAATGTTCTATTTTCCTTGTACTTGTGGATTAAAACAGATACAAGCCAATATCCTTTTTACAACTGTCTATCACCTCTCCCTTCAAAATTTATACACTTTTTAATCTTACCTCCTATGTAATAAAAGGACACTTTCCATATTTTTTAATCTCAAATTTGAATCAGAATTGTAGAAATCCATAAAAATCTGAGAATCCTATGTAGACATGATGGGTATGCTTTCATTACTTAGCATAATCCACACTTGACCAGAATTCTATTAAGTTTCTTGTCCAACAAAGTGAACAGCATCACACGTCACCAACAATTTTTATAACTCATTACATTTCATCCATTGACCACAAAATATACCTACTTTACAACAATCTGAGGAGACTCCAGCAGAAGATCAAATGAAGCACGAGAATCAATTGTGCAGCTTCCTCACACCAAAAAAAATTACTCTAAAGAACAGTACACTAACCTCCTGGCGAAAATTATTTGCTGTCCTCTCTAGATGATCCATTTTCCTTTTTGATTTTATTGTACTGCAGCAAAAAGCAAACAAAGAGAACTGTCATTTTGAAAACTAAGCTACTGTCTCTCACTGTGTGACAACCACCCCACGCAACGCTACAGGCTTGGGGAGGAGTGGCTGGAAAGCTGCCTGGCGGTAAAGGACCCGGGGGTGCTGGTCGACAGAGGGCTGAACATGAGCCAGCAGCGTGCCCAGGTGGCCAAGAAGGCCAACGGCATCCTGGCTTGTATCAGGAATAGTGTGGCCGAATAGGGGGGCCAGGAGGAGTAGGGAGGTGATCCTGCCCCTGTACTCGGCACTGGTGAGGCTGCACCTCGAGTACTGTGTTCAGTTTTGGGCCCCTCACTACAAGAAGGACATTGAGGTGCTGGAGCATGTCCAGAGAAGGACAACAAGGCCAGTGAAGGGTCTGGAGAACAAGGAGCAGCTCAGGAAACTGGGGCTGTTTAGCCTGGAGGAGGCTGAGGGGATACCTAATTGCTCTCTACAACTACCTGAAAGGAGGTGTAGTGAGGCAGTCGTTGGTCTGTTCTCCCAAGTAACAACTGATAGGATGAGAGGAAATGGCCTCAAGTTGTGCCAGGGGAGGTTTAGATTGGATATTAGGAAAAATTTCTTCACTGAAAGGGCTGTCAAGCACTAGAACAGGCTGCCCAGGGAAGTGGTGGAGTCACTGTCCGTGGAGGGATTTACAAGATGTGTAGATGTGGCACTTAGGGACGGACATGGTTTAGTGGTGGACTTGGCAATGTTACGTTTACAGTTGGACTCGCTGATCTTACAGGTCTTTTCCAATCTAAGTGATTCTATGATTCATTGATATAAATTTCTATTACTGTAACAATTGGCCAGTGTAATCCCGTTTACATTCTAGGTGACAAATCTAAATTAAGAATTAAATACAAATATACAATTGGGACTTAAGTAGTTATAGGTCTATAATAATTTGTCAGCTTCATTTTGACAGTGTTATCATGACATTCTCTTTAAAAGAAAGAGCTGCACTTGTAGATTGATAACCTACCCGTTCACTGTGCAGTAACAAAAAGCAGAGTGCCTCAACACCGCGAATGCAGAGCGAGCAGGAGAAATTCTGCTAGCACCTCTCAGTAATTGTGGAACAGTAAAACCCAAATAAATACTAGCATGTGCCATGATGACTGGGCCGTCTTCAGAAACACCAGCTCCTGAAAAATCCACACAAATATTTGTTAAATAAAATACTCACTGTTCGACATGGCTTGTTTTCATCCTTTATTTCCATTAAATCAGAAAGGCCAAAGCTCAGTTGGAGCTAAAACTAGCAATAGACATACAGGGTAACAAGAAGGAATTTTACAAGTACGAAAGTATCACAAAGAAGTTAAGTGAAAACGTACACCCATCGACTGCAGGGGAAGACCACCTTGTCACAGATGATACGGAAGCATCTGAAGTACTCAACAGTTTTTTTGCCTCAGTCTTCACAGGCAAAGCCTGCACCCAGACCTCTGCTCGTACCAGCAGCATTCAGGAAGGAGAGGGATAAGCAGGAGTGGGGCCAGCAACTGCTGAGAGAAGCTGGGTATATTCAAATGCACAGAGCCAGGTGGGCTACATGCAAGGTTGCCAAGAGTCACAGCCTGTGAGGCAACTGGCTGTTACCTATGAAAAACAGTTATCAGAGAAAGTCTCCAAGTGCCTAGAAAGAGACAAACACGTGGTCACTTTTATGAGAGGCACAAAGCAGTGCCTATGTCCAGTGAGCATCACCGCCGTTGCTGGAAAAATGCTCAGAGCTTGTCCCCTTCGCTGCGTGAAAGCTAAGAAAGGAGATTCCACACTGATTCACCAAGGGCAAACCACGTGTAACAAATTCGAACACCTACTGCGATGAAAGGTCTGGTCACGCAGCGAAGGGGACAGCAGCGGACACAATACACCTTGAGTGTCCTGTGGCACCAGGACACCACCTCCCACAGCACACACACGAGGAAGCTGAGTGCAGATGGACCGCTGGAGTGGCTCAAAACTGGCTGCGTGGGCAGACAGACTTGCAGGCTTGATGTCCCGTTGCTGGCCAGCAACAGTACAAGCACGCCAGGGGTGGTATTAGGGCTGATTCAATTCAATAACTTTATCAATAACTGGGATGATGAGACAGATATGATGACACTAAATTAGAGGGATGGCTGACATGCTGAATGGCAGAGCTTCATTTCAAAGAGGCACTGAGAAACCTCAGGACTGAAAAGCAGAAACCACATGAGCTTCAAGTACAAAGGTCTGCACCTGGGACCGGCTTAATCCAGCACTGGCAACTCTCCTGCTCCAAGCAGGAGCTTTGACTAGATGACCCTCAGCAGTCCCTTCCAGCCAACATACCTGTGATTCTAAGTGCTCAGACAATATTTATGTTTGAAAGAAGACCAGACAAACACTGAATGTGCATTCCCTTTCTATTGGTAAAGAAAAGGTTCTGGCTGGAAAATTCTATAAACACTAAATAAAACTGTTTCTTTACAGGTTTATTTAAAAACACACAAATTCCTCATACTTCCATACACCCTACATAATACCTACATCTCTGAACAGTTAAGCAAGTAGCAGACACTTGCATGGACTACAGTGGAAACATGGTGTGAAGCTTCAAGACTGCATATTCAAATGGAGGTATGACAAAGAAACTGACAGGTACAATATTCAAAATCAGTCAGAAATATCCTTCCCTTACAAAGTGTAAGAACAGGCTGATGGTGAGCCAAGAGATATTTCTCATTGCCTGTAAATCTGGCTTTGTTTTTCCTAAAACGGATTAGCATAATTCTCTATCATATCATACCTATCAAATGATTGTATTATTTCTAAGATGCAGTTCATCACTTCTTTAAAGCATTCCTAATCTTTTACTTCCACTTAAATCTCTTTTCCTGCATGTAATTTATTTTCAAAATGTTTTTGTTTTAATTTTGAATCTTTTGAAATGGCAACAATCCAGTTCGTTTAACTAATCAGGCCTATACTCTCTAGGCTTTTACTCACAGCTGCATTGGCTGGTCACAGTAATTTGTCCCTTTTGTAATCTCGTACGAATGGGAGCCAGAGCTTTCATAAATTAGGCTGCTTAGAAGTGGAATACATTTACTGTAACTTAGGCTTGAAAATGGGCATTTTGAGTAAAGTGCCCACTTTCAAGCATAAGAAATACTTCCTGCAGCTTTTAACTGTCCATAATTTTAAATAGTTTTTTAGCATTTAATTCTACAGCAGCTTGCAACTTTTCAAAGTGGAATTATTTAAAACTCTTCTACCACCAGTGAGCAAAATTACTTTAACTTTTTTTTGCCATAGCATATAGAGAGTATTTAAACAAAATACTTTAGTACATTCTACATGCAAATGTGTAGAAGCTGTTGATAACAAAAGTATTAACTAAATCATTTTAGCAAGACAAAGTACACATCTCATGAAGTCACATTCCTCTACATCATCAGCATGTTCAGCCTGTAAACCCCAAGTGCTCAAAAATCATTGAGTTACTCAAATTCATGAGAACATTTTGTGATCTAGAGTCTTTTAGATAGTAGATCTTGGATATATCCATCTACGTCTTCTTTTTTTAGGCTTCGAAGTGCTTTTTGATTCATGTTTTCAAGCTTTTCACTCTACCACATTAACTGATTCAAAGTAAAAATGAAGGAAGATTGAAAGTGGACATTCTTATTTAAGCTGTTTATGCCAACAGCTGTGACTAATTAAGTCACCACAACATCACAATGAACCACATAAAGTCCGACACTGCTTCAGAGGCCAAGGACTGAGAGTGAAGATTTAATCATTGCAGTTTTTTGTAATTTTTTTTAAAATCCCCTCACATCCTTCAAACCTCTATCTGCAATTAATTGCTACTAAACACCACGACATCTGCTGGCAAAAGAAGTGGCCTAACCTTAAAATACAATGCAAAGATTTTTTTGCCTCAGTCTTCACAGGCAAAGCCTGCACCCAGACCTCTGCTCATACCAGCAGCATTCAGGAAGGAGAGGGATTGCATTGTTTATTTTACATATTTTAACTTAATCATTCTACTGGTGAGGTTGAGAGTCACTCAACGCTGGCCTCATTTTCACTGCTACCACTTTAGGAAGCAAATATGTCCAGTTCTATACATGAAAATGAGGGGGGGGTAAGGGGGGAGGAAAAGAGTTAAATATCAGTACATAACAGTGAAAACAAAATAAATGTCAGCCTTAGTTTATTGTAGCAGCTAATATTTTGAAGTCAGGGCTGACAGATCCTATTGATACAGGCTATTCTAAGACTGAGACTCTACCCTAAATGAAATACAACTCTTGAACAGTAGCTCAAGCTACTTGTTCCATTCACACCATCATCAATCACTTTCCAACACTGAAAATCACAATAAAAATCGACTGTAATTTTTACTCTGCAACTAACAAATTACAAAATCTCTTCCAACAAACCCTGGTTCTCCTCTACCACATACAAGTCTGAGACATGCCTTTATAAAACGTGAACAGCCTCTCCCCCATCTGTCATCTCTGCAACTTTCTTGGCTCATCCAGGTCCTTGGCAACTCCCTGCCCTCCACAAAGCCCAGCGCTTCAGCCTCCCAAGCTCTTGCCTGGTGGGATGTTCTGCCTCGTATTTTTTGTTTTATTTTTATGCAAGCCCTCACGGAAATAGCCACTCCAAATACCCCCTTTCTTCCTTTGCTCTGCAGAGAGAAATGAGTGCTTCTTCTGTGCACGACTTCCTCCTCTCCTCACCTGAAATGAAAACCAAGCAATTCACCCTCCTTACCCTCCGACCGCTGGCCCTGGGTTAACAGCGCTTGAGATCTACGAGCGCATCTCTTCTTTTCCTCAGTCCCACACCGATATCTGAAGGCAGAGAGTGCTTTTCGTTAACCTGTAGCGCACAGAAGGGCAAGTTATTACACAAGTTAATGCAAGAGGGCGCTGAGGGGGACGCAAGGATACTTCAGCGCGCAGAACAGGACACCTTTTACCAAAAGCAAGCGCACAGACCGCCAGAAGACACCCCTCCAGGCAAACCGCCCCTCCCCACCACAGTCACCACCGAACGAAGCGCTCCCCCTCGGCCCAGCGTGAGGGGGCACACCGGGCCCTGTTAG